TCTGCCTCCCGAGTGCTGGGATTAAAGACGTGCGCCACCAATGCCCAGCTAAGGCTGACCTTAAGTATCACAGTAGTAACCCTCTATGAAGCCTTCTCTAGGTCAACTGATGTGGTCACATTTGGAAATCAAATTTACCTCCTGGCTTCAAGGGTATTCACCTGTTTAGCTGGGCCTTTGGCTGAGTCACACCTGCATCTGATTCCGCTCTGCACAACTTTTACTTCCCTTTTTCCATGTATCTGTTTTTCTATACCCCAGGGTCAGTAGTTAGAATCCCTAAATTCTACCCAGACCTGCTAAAACTTGTCAGACCTGCGATTGTCCCTACAAGCCATTTGCTTTCCATGCTGTTTAGGTTTCGTGAGTTGAACCCTGACTTTCCACTGAATCTGGCTGCTTATTTTTATTAGATCACGCAGTTACACTATCTTTTGGTTTGAGTTAGTTTTGTTGTTAGTTTTGGGGGCTTTTTGTTTGTTTTTCTGTGTACTCCTGGCTGGCCTAGAGCTTACTATGTAGCCAGGGTTGGCCTAACACTTAGTCCTCCTTCTGCTTCCGCCTCCCAATTACATACATTACAGACATACATCACTATGTCCAGTACCATTGTGTCTTTTTTCTAATTTATTTGTATTAGTGTGTGTGTGTGTGTGTGTGTGTGTGTGTGTGTGTGTGTGCATGGTATATGTGTGTATCTTTAAGTGCTTGAAAAGGTCAGAGGTATTTGGTCTCCTCAAGCTGGAATTACAGGTAGTTGTGAACCACTGCCCTACACGGGTGCTAGCTGTCAAACTTTGATCCTCAGCTTTTAGTGGCTGAGCCATCTCTCCAGCCCAGTTACATTGTCTTTAAACCTACCTAAAAGTGGCTATGGAACTCCAGCTTTTTACCTTTTCTACCCAGTTGTGGAGAACTTTGTGGAAGATGTTTGCACACTCATCCTAGGGGTTTTGAGTCCTGCTGTGTCCACGGTGAGGGTGAGTGGCAGGTGGAGCCTTGACTGCCCCTGGACAGCCTCCCAGGAATGACCTCAGTTTTACATGCTGATTTGGATCTAAACTACCTTAAGTATCCAAGCATTCTTATGTGTTCTAGAAAGGAGTATCACAGCAAGTTTTGAGATTAATGAGTTCCAGGTCAGCTGAGCTACTAATAACCTGTATATCATCTGCATTTTTCTTGGAAACAATCATATTATCTATGCAGTTATATATGATATTTTTAGGCTCAACATGTGACCCAAGTAGGCTTCAAAACTATGGTCTTCCTACCTCAATCTCCTGAGGATGCTCAGCTATGTTATTTATTTTTGTATATTTAGGTTGTTGAGACAGGTCTTGTTAAGTAGCCCAGCTGAACTCATTAGTCTCAAAACTGGTTGAGATACTCCTTTCTCTTTCTCCTGGGATGTAGGATGACAAATATGTGCCATTGTGCCCGGAGAATGAGTGAATGAATATTTACTTATTTACTTGTTGAGACAAAGCCTTGATGTACATGTATCCTAGTTGGACTCATACTATAAAGTCCAGGCCAGCCTTGAACCTGAGTCAATGTTCCTGCCTCAGTTTTAAAATGCTATAGTCACAGGCAGTAGCCACCAGGCTCGTCTATTATTCCTTTAATTTTTAAAATACTGGGCTAGAGAGATGGCTCTATGGTTAAACCACATGTATTGCTTTTCCAGAGACCCAAGTTCAAATCCCAGAATCCATGACTCATAACCACTTATAACTCCAGCTCCAAGGGAACCCCTGGTCTGTGTGCCCCCTTGCCAGCCCCTCTCCCCCGTCTCCACACTTACATGCACATAGTCACACACTGACACAATACATAGTTAAAAATAATAAAAATGTTTTATTGATTTTTAATTAAAGAAAAATTAATATTGACAAATGAAACTGACCCATAAAAACATAAAAATCAGGGCTTACAGGCAGCTCAGCTGGTAGAGTGCTTGTCTAGTCATACTTCCTAAACTGGATGTGGTGCTACATGCCTTCACTTCCAGAACGTAGGATGAAGAAACAGGAGGGTCAGGAGCTCAGGGTCAGACTTAGCTACCTAACAAGTTCAAGTCCAGCTATGCCACACTAGAGCCTATCTCAAAAGAAAGAAAAGAAAAAACAAGAACAAAACAAAACATGAAATCATCCCTCTTAATGGGATGCCATATGATATGATATGATATGATATGATATGATATATGATAGAACATAATACACAATTGTCTAATCAGATTATTCCTACTCAGATCTTTTCAGTTTTCTTTTTTTGTTTTTCCAAGACAGGGTTTCTCTGTGTAGCTTTGGAGCCTATGCTGGCACTCGCTCTGGAGAACAAGGCTGGCCTCAAACTCACAGAGATCCACCTGCCTCTGCCTCCCGAGTGCTGGGATTAAAGGTGTGCGCCACCAATGCCTGGCTTCAGTTTTCTTTTTTTGAAGATTTATTGTATTTTCAATTATGTATAGCCTCTGTGTGTGTGTGTGTGTGTGTGTGTGTGTGCTTGGTATCAAACCCAGAGCATTGTGTGAAGACCAGTAGTCTACTGTATCTCAACTCTTTCCTCATCATGGATTACGTTGATCACATCTTTTTACAAATTCTATAAATTGTACCCCCACCTACCCAGACCATTCTCTTTCTTAGACAAATCATCCAGTGTGCTTGGTTGCAAACAACAACTGGTGCAAACAGATATGGATTCATTATAATATTAAGGTCCTCAGCTCCAGGAAGGGCACAAAATTTATTTGCTATATTGCACAGAAAAAAAAATGTTAACACACTAAGGGGCTTTCCTAGTGGACACACTGTGGGCACCAGTCCCAAGACAGCATATAGATACCCAGCCAGGTATCCCTAGTTGAATACAACTGTGCCTGAAGAACCAGTGCTATATTCATGGTACTCCCTGGAGACCTGCCTGCCTTCTATGTCTAAGTGTCTCTTCCACCTGCCTATCTGCATCCACTGCCTGGGTAGAGTCGTAGGTCTTTTGATTACAGGGGGTGTCGGAAAAGGCAGTATTCAGGAAGACTTTCCTGTCCTGCTTTAGAACAGTGTCTGTCATTCCAGGTTAAGAGCTTTCCATTAACTCTTGGAAAAGCCTACAAACACTGGAGTCAGGAAACCTGAGAGTATGAAGTGCTCCCTATGCCTCCATCTTGGAGGTCATACCTCCCTGTCCTCCATCCCTGGGTAGCTTTAACCTAGTCTCATATCTGGCATGGAATAAACAGTGGAATGGGTGTCTCTGGAAGCTTTGGGGAACCACGGGGCCTGTCTGAGTTGGGTCTTGGGTGCCTCGACCTCAGGCTCAGCCCTCTGGACCTTTAGGGTGCCACAGCTTCTCCTCCCTTTGCACTCTCTTAGCCATACTTAACCATTTCCTTCCCTGAGCCTCTCTTGCCCTTGTTCCTCCTGCCTGCCTGTGATCCAGAGTGGTGTGGGAAGTTCCTGATGGCCACTCTCCCAACAGGCCTCCCTAAACCCCAGTAACCACAAGCTGGATGAGGACCTATGCCAGACACTCACACAGCGCTATGTGAGCATCATGAACAGGCTGCAGAGTCTGGGCTACAATGGACGGGTGCACCCAGCACTGACAGAACAGTTGGTGAATGCGTATGGCATCTTGCGTGAACGGCCTGAGCTGGCAGCATCTGAAGGTGGCTCCTACACTGTGGACTTCCTGCAGCGTGTGCTGGTGGAGACTGTGCACCCCAGCATGCTCACCGATGCTCTCCTGCTGCTCTCCTGCCTTAACCAGCTGGCCCATGATGATGGCAAACCCATGTTCATCTGGTAACACTGGTGCCCGGCTGGCCCAGGCTTACTTTGCCCTGCAGGCCATCATGCATGGCTATTAAAAAGTTTCCCAAGACATGAGTTACTGGGCCCATGCCACACCTACCTGCTCCTGTAGGGTACCTCACTAGATACATTTGGTCTTGTCAGCCCCTGGAGAGACCGCTCGGATAAGGCTCAGACACTGACTTTCTGAAGGGATTGAATGGAAAGCCCCAAGTTCCCTTTCACTTGATAATGAAAGCAGAAGTTCAGGGAGTTGGATGGTTGGGGGGGGG